TGGTAGTGAGATAAGAATGGAGGCTCGGTTGACCTCCAGGAACACATTTGGAAGAGGAGGAGGGAAGGAGGGGGGATGTGTAGAGTAGAGTGGTTGAGAGGGAGAGGAAGAGGGAAGGAGGTAGAAAGAAGGAGGAGGGAAGTAGGTTGGAGAGAGGGAATGTGGTCCTGTGAGGCTGTTGAGCATTTTAGAATAGGAGTTTTTTTAGTACAAGAATGGAGGCTCGATTGACCTACAGGACCACATTTGGAAGAGGAGGAGGGAAGGAGGGGGGATGTGTAGAGTAGAGTGGTTGAGAGGGTGGAGAGGAGGGAAGGAGGTAGAAGGAAGGAGGGAAGTAGGTTGAAGAGAGGGAATGTGTTCCTGTGAGGCCACTGAGCATCTTAGAATGGGAGGTTTTTTTAGTTTGTTTGTTTTTATTAATTGTATTATTGACTTATGCCATAATTGTATGTTTGTTTATTTTGGGGGGATAAAAAAAAATCAATAAAATTTGTTTATAAAAAAAAAAAAGGAAATATACTTTATTGTTCAAGGACATAGCAAATACTTTCTCTCCTCCTTACATGAAAGAGAATCAAGTTGGGGCCTTCTTGAATTTGTTTTTCACCTTGTGCTCCCATCCAAGGCTAAGCTGATATTTATTTAATTGCTGTTGAATTCCTTTTTCAAGGCTATCTTGATATTCTTTTAGTTTTGCATCAGTCTCTTGGATTTCTTTCGCCTTCAGCATGTGTTAACCTTGTTAAAGAGAAACAATGAAGTATAGAGAGAAGAAAAGACTAAGGAAATAGGAATCTTTCTCCCTCCTTTTTTCTTTTTCACAATAAATTCCACAATAAATCTTGTGTTTTATTCTTTTTATTTCCAGTATTGCACATAATTTTTAGAAAATATTTCTTGAGTTTTCTGAATGTAAAGTGTTTATTTACTTAGAACTGTTCATTAAGCGTACTGTGGGACTATGGACTTTCAGAAACTATAATAAAGAGAGCAGTGGAATAGAAATAGGACAGTGGTGGCGAACCTATGGCACGGGTGCCAGAGGCGGCACTCAGAGCCCTCTCTGTGGGCACGCATGCCATCGCCCCAGTCCTAGGCCTTCAGCTGGGTTTTATAAAACCTTTTCGTTTTAGGCCTCCGCCGCCATGTGCAGGAAAAAAAAAAGGTTCAATCAGTCATTTTCAACTTCTCACGGGGAAAAAAAAGATCCTGCAAAGTTGGAATTGATTGATTGAACTTTTTAGTCCCACCCAATCTGTCGTTACCACTGAAGCCATGCCCACCCAATGGGCCACGCCCACCCAATGGGCCACACCCACCCAGCACTCGACAATGCATAAGTGGATTTTGGGTTGCAGTTTGGGCACTCGGTCTCTAAAAGGTTCGCCATCACTGAAATAGGATATTCATCACCAACAATTATAATGGTTCTAGTGCACCATTCATTATTCTTTGTTGCTCATTGTTCTCCATTTACATAGTGTAGTAATACTTGAATTCTGAGATTCCTGTTTGTGTGCTGATATAGCTGTGGTTCTGATGATCACAGAAATTCTGAGTGTGTATTCTTTTGTAATCTTATTTGCAGTTTATACGTGCAAGCTCTCGGAAACAGAACATCCTCTTTATTTGCGATTGGTGGCTGGCCCAAGAACAGATACGCTTAGCTTTGTTTTGCGTGAGCATGAATCTGGAGAGGTTTTGGTAAGTTACACTTGTGTTGTGTACTTGGAAATCACCTAGTTCATTGCCAGGATTTATAATTAGTGGTGTACAATTTCCAGTTCAAACCTATTGAATGTACTCATGTTTATAGAGAAAAGCAAGCAAGTAGCCAATTAAACTACAGGTAGGTATCAACTTTTGATCACAATTGAGCCCCAGATTTTTGTTGCAAAGTGAGAAATTTGTTAAGTGAAATTTACTCCTACGATTTTCCTGCAACGGTCGTTAGTTGAATCACTGCAGTTGTTAAATTAATGACACAATTGTTAAGTGAATCTGGTTTCCCCATTGACTTTGCTTGTCAGATGTTTGCAAAAGGTGATCACATGATCCTTGGATACTGCAACCATCATAAATATGAGTCAGTTGTTAAGCATCAGAATTTTGATCATGTGACCATGGGGATGTTGCAACAATCATAAGTATGAAAAACTGTCATAACTCATTTTTTCAGTGCCTTTCTAATCTGAAAGGTCACTAAAAGAACTGTTTAAGTTGAGGACTATTTGTATAGTGCAGATTATAAGAGTTTTATAAAATCTTACATTAGAAAGGATATTTTGATTCAGTGTCATGCCATGCTTGGTACAAGAATCTGATCTAAAGTATTCCTAACAGATGAAAATGTCTGCCAAAAGAATCCCCTATCTCTCTGGCCAATTGATTCTTTTACTCAGCTATTTTTATTGTTAGTAAAGTGTTTTTTCCCCTTAACTTTCAATAAAAATTGTCTGTCCATCCATCCATCCATCATATCTCTGTCTGTCTGTCTGTCTGTCTGTCTGTCTGTCTACCTACCTATCTAATTTATGGCCACCCACTCAATCTCTGACTGTGGGTGGATTACAAAAAATAAAAATTCAATATAGTTCCTGCTTCAGAACTAAAAAAAATCAAGAATGTGGGGTTGTGCTCTCTTTTTTTGCATGTTTTTGAAATTTGTGAGAAATCATGGATTTAATCATGGACAGTTTTATCTATAGGTTTATGTATTTCTGTATTTTGGCATAGTGGATCCTGAAGGAAAATAAATGTATTGGTTTTTACTTGAGTAGCACAATAAAATGAAAATTACAAACCAAATTGTCAAATGTTCTTAGATACTATGGATAAATCCACAATTTTATTTTTGCAGTGGGAAGCCTTTAGCCTTCCTGAACTACAGAATTTCCTGCGTATTCTGGACAAAGAAGAAGATGAGCAACTACAAACCTTAAAAAGACGCTATGCAGTATACAGAGAAAAACTTGAAGAAGCTCTTCGTGGAGTTTGGATTCCAAGTTAAAAAAGGGTCAAAGAATACTCAGGGAAGACGTGCATTGCTTAATTTTAAATAACATGCCAGATCCAATACCCTTAGCAAAATGCCTTTAATAAAAAATAATTTGTTCCCATAAGGGCAGTTCTATAGATTGATATATTTTGCATGTAGGAGCATAGACAAATTGCAATATTTGCAGGCTTTTCTTTATGCTACGTCTTGATATTTTTTTCTCTAGTTGTGATTGTCAGAGAAGTTTGTTTTCAAAGGCAGTAAGAAATGAAGTTTTTCTGCTTTAATGTTAAAATAAAGGGGGTGTAAATTTTGATATGCTACTCAAACTCAGTTTATAATAAGAATTAGTAGACTATTTGATAGCAGAATTGATTTGACTGCCTATTTTCAAGTATTTCTTTATAATTTTGCAAATTAAATTATTTTTATACATTGAAGAGAAATATGTTCAAAATGTTAAGTTAAAGTCATTCAAGCAAATGGAACTATAGAAGGTATAATGGAAGTTGAAATGAAGGTAAGAGTTGGAGAAAAGAAATAAATGTTGAAATAATATTGAAAAGAGATTGGTTTGCAGTTGGTTAATATATGAGAAAGAAAATTGAGGGATTTTGTTTATTACTGAAATTAATATATTCAGTGCTATTATTGAAGAGGGTTTATTAACTATAATAGAGAGTAAACTGCATGTATTTGATGCGTACCACATGGTCAGAAACCTATATGTAGTTTGGGATGCTCAAATATTGTAGAGATTTTTATGAATCTAAAATCCACATTAAATTGTTAATTTGGAATTCTTATAATCTATTAAATGTCCAAATGTCTATTTGAATTCCTTTGGGTATCAGTTTATCTCTTGGAAAAGAGTTAAAAATTATCTTCATGGTGTTATTTTTAATATGAAGCAAATTTCCTCCATTTGAAACAGAGCAATATTTTTACTTATACCAGTGGTGGTGAACCTTTTAGAGACCGAGTGCCCAAAAACTGGCCCCGCCCCCGCTCCACCCCCTGCAGTGCCCCTGCTCCACCCCCACACCGTCCCCCACCCTACCTGCCCACAGGGCCACTCACCGCCTCCAGGGCCCGCCACAGATCGCCCAGGCAACCCAACAGCGCCATGGCAGTCACACCCTCTGCCCGCACCCCGCAGCATCAACTGTGCGCGATGGGGCTTGAGGGCAGAGTCTTGTCTACACTGCCTGGCTGCCATGTCCTTGGCTGCGCTGCTCTGCGTGGGCCACGCTCAGGGGCGACTCCTCCAGGGGGGCTGCTAGTGAGGGGGTCGTGGGGGGAGGGGAGGCTGGGGCAATGGCACGTGTGCCCACAGAAAGGGCTCCGAGTGCCGCCTCTGGCACGCGTGCCATAGGTTCGCCACCACTGACTTATACTCATTGCACTGTGAATAACTTGACAATCTATAATTTTTAGTTTCTATTCTGAAAAGTCAGCTAAAAATTGACCAGGGTTCTAGGTGCAAGATATTTGTAAGGGGAAAATTTTGCAGTTAATTAGCAGTATCCCCCCCCCCCCCAAATGGTTTAAGATATGTATAACAAAACCAAAGAAATGGATGTGCAATAGAAAAATTTAGATAAATATATGACAAAGGTTGTTTTAGGTTGTACACACTATTTACAGCCCTCAATCAGAATATATTGACTTGGGATAAATTTAATTTCCATAATTTAAAAGAATCACGTTGGCCAACCTTTTTTTAAAATGGTAATCATTTGGACATTTACTTTAAACATTTTGAAGAACATCCTTAGAAATGGTGACATCTGGTGGATATTGCAGGCAACACTAATATATTATTAAAAGGTGCCTTCAGGTTATTCTTAGGTTGCTTTGTCAAAATAAGGTTCTTAACTTTCAAAGTGCAGAGACAATCTTTACTACAATAGAATATTAATTGATGCTGTTTTGAAATGTGTGATTAATATATAATGACATACCTTGTTTTGTTTTCTGTTCATACTTAACTGTAGTACTCTGTATTTGTCTTTTGCTTCTTTGGAGAGACAAAGTTATATAGAATAGTGGTGCTTGACTTCAACTGTATTGTTTTTTTCCTGAAGATATTAAGTCAGGTCAATGGATCAGTTTGGATATTATTAATCTCCTAATGAAGCAGTGACATATTAATGCTGTTTTACTTTATGTTTTATCTTATTGTGTGCATCCTATGTTCCACTATAGTTTGTTTCTAATATAATTTGCACACAAATGACCAGTATGCAAACATTACTCCTGTATAAAGTATCATTGAAAAAAGGGCATTTCTCTAGAACAGAGTAAAAAGTTCTGAGGTAAAATAAAGAATGTTGGGATGATTGTTTCAGTTCCCCATTCAATATTCTGTTCTTGCCTCTGAATATTTGTTCACCCTCCAAGTTCAAGACATAATTTCTTTTCCTACCTTATCTCGGTAGAAATATCACTTCCTTGTTTACCCTTTTAGCATAAATCCAAAGCCACATAAGAAAGCAATATTGCTTGTCTCAAAGGGCACACACTGTAAAAGTAATATCTATTATGTTAAAAAAGGTAAAAAATGAATATCACCATGGTAAAGCAAACCAGAATTTGTTTTTCTGTGTATGTGGATGTACATGTGGATGCAAACATGATTTCAGAATGGTGATTTGAGGAGAGTATTTTCCAATCTGACTCTTTTCCCTAGCTTGCTTATTGGAGCAGTTAAGCTGTAAACCAGTGTAAGAGTCATTTAACTGTATTAAGGTAAAGCATTTAATGTTTGAGTTTTTTTAAACATCTGATCCTAAGTTTGAAACACTGTTTTTGAATATTGAATGGCAATTTACAGATATGTGAATTATACTTTTAACTTGAACTTCGTGTTTTTTTACTCTTTTTTGATGTGTTTTATGCACTACAGGTTGGAGTAAGAAAAACAGTTTGTATTATTCCAGACTTTTTTTTACTTAGGTTACTGCTATTATTTTTAATTATAAAGAGATTCAATGATTAATTATTTTAATGTAGGATTCAATGTTTATTTTAGTGTAACATTCTTAATCTTCAAAGATGTTACAGATGTTATGTTTTGATTATTTGTTAATGAAGAGTAGGTTGGAGGGACATGGAAAACACTTTTTTGAGAAATATTATTTATTATTTTTGAGTTTTTTATACAGAAATCCAATTCCTTTTGATGTAAAGAAAATACTGCAGCAAGTTTTCCATAAATAAAGTTGAAGTTGGCATTGTATTGTATGGTTGTTTCTTTTACTAAATTATTGGCTTCTTTTAAAAGTATAATACGGCACCAATTAGTGGGTTTTTCCACATATTTCTTTTCTCCGTTTATTCAAGCACATGATCACTCAATTTTTACAACATAGGTCTCTTTATCAAAATTGATAATTTGGATTTCATTTTCCATCCTTCCAGGGATTTGATAGATATGACGATGATCAGATATGTTAATGTATATTTTTATACAAGGAAATATTGGATACTTGCCAGATAAAAGCATCACTTAACATATTTTGCCTTGCCTTTTTTCCTACAGACTTCAAGTGACTAATTCTGAAAAAAAAAAAAAACTTGAATCACAAAAAACTACCAGTTTTTTCATGCATTCTGTTCAGTCATTTTGGAATAATTTCTACTTTGTGCGTCAGATCTAATATGCAACACAGTTCAAAATTGATCCAAGTATTTATTTATTAAACAAATTTATATGGCTTCTCAATTGACACACAGGTAACTTCAGGAGGCTTACTACATTCAAAATCCACAACATAAAAACAAAACACACACACACACACACACACGACAGCAGCAGCAATACAATCAAACCAACAATTTGGTCAGCTTCATCTCTATTTGTGGTCCCTAGGCCCACTGACAAAACTATCTTCAGGGCCTTTCGGAAACCAACAAGGTGGAGCTGATCGTATCTCTGGTGGAACGATGTTCTATTGCTTTCTCCCAGCCATATGAAATTATGCTGTTGTCATTATCATTATGGTGATCATCCACCTCTGGTATATATCCAATAGATAATGCTTGCCTACTTACTCAGCTGCAACTGATGACATTCATTCCATGGATGGCACTTCCAGTGTTCTTTGCTCACTCTTCTAGGAGGAAGTCCCCACCTCAATGAAGCTGCAGAGCAGAAATTGGGGACATTTACATTTCTTAGAAAATGGGCAATTCCCTTAAAAAATACACTGGGCACCCTGCTGAAGTTTGAATGTGTGTTGACTATGTAGATTTAGTTGCTTGCTTGGTGAAGCCTGACCTTGCTGATCTAGTAAACAGTATATATATTGTCCTATACCATGATACGAGTTCAGTTCTGTTATAGCGGCTTTGGTGTGTATGTTTTATAAACATACTGTCTTGATCAAACTGTAGTTAAAAATACTGTCTTAATGAGGGGAGGAGTGAACGTCTCGGCGACACAACGTATTCCTTGGGGGCTCCCTAGGAATCGTTGCTTTTCAGCTGTTTGGGGAGGTCTGCCTAGTCCTAGACAGACCAGAGCTGTTCTGTAGGGACAGTGAAGAAGGGAAGGATAGTTTGGCAGCACAGGAGGGATCGCAATCTCCTGGAGAGCCGAACGGAAGCTTCCCAG